TCCAGTTGATTAGGGGTCCCTCTATTAGAAATTTTAGAAGGACCAACGCCAGTGTCTCTTCTCAAACCTATGTTTGAAGGCTCTGACTTCTCAACATATGATTTTCCATTCCAAGGCAGTGAATGATCTTTTATCACAGGATTTTGACTACTACCTTCACCATGAGACGGTTCGATAGGTCTGGAGTAAGAAAATTCAGTATCCTTGGAGGAAGGTAAATTGGGTAAAATCTTGGGATTAAAAGCCTTGTTAAAGGCACTATCCTTGGTGCTCAAAATATCAGCTGGCATAAGTGGGATAAGTGTCCCTGGAGCAGCCATGAGATCAACCAAAAACTCCCTGAAAGCAGAGAAGGAGATATCAGTACCACAGAACCTGAAGAACCACATAAACTTTCTGGGTAAACTTAGAAATCTAATGATTTCATCAACCAGTGCCAATAGTACACAGGCATGGATATGAGAAGCAAATGGACGCACAAATTAGTGAGCTAACAGATACATGAAATACAAAGATCCTTAACCTTTCACCCTCCAATTTTATAATGTTGACAGCATCATCCTCCACACCAGTGTAATGACTCCCTTTTACCAGTCTACAAGGCATGTTAATGTTGTCAGCTAATACCTGAATGCAGAAAAAGAACAAGTACATTATTACACAGGCAATAGATCAAGAACTATAATATTATCCTCTAAAATGCACACAAAAATTACTGAAATTTAACTGGAAGATATATTCTCAAATCTCGTGTTTAAAACTAGCTTTGCAACTACATCACAACTAAGCCAAGGTTAAAAACCTAAAGAAGCTTTACTCCTACTGATGAGCAAAGTCAGCCATAAGTTTAATGACTCAATCTTCATAAATGGAGCATGATTTCTCATTTTTTTCAGCTAAGCATACTTAGAGCAAATATATTTCTTAATGCAAGCTCAGGCTATATTAGTAGGGGATATTTTTATCAGCATGAGTAATTTTAAAGAAAACTATCTGAAGTACATTTATTAATTTATTAATGTTTTCATTTAAAGAATGTTATCGGGTGATATAATTATTTGATAGTTATAGCAGATATCACGTTCCACTTCTTTTTCTTTTAATGTAGTTGTGTCTGATTTTTTTAACAGATTATGACTGCATTAACCTAACAACAAATTACATTACAGCTAACAAGAACTTTAATTACCAATAAAAGCCACAATACTAACCTTGAAAAGCAAAGCACGATGTCTAGAGAGCCCAATATTTAAGGACCCAAGAGGCAATACAATTGTGTGAAGATTTGTCCTTAACTCTGCTCTTGTTTCTGTCCATCTTGCTAACATAATATTAGCATCCTTTACAGGACCACCCATATGACTTGTAACAAGTTCAGCAAGCCTTTGTGCCAAACTAGTGACTGGGCAGTCTAATGCAATACATTGTGCAATTTGTATCAGTTCTTCCAGTGCAGGATCAATTGTTCTATTAACAATGACCACCTCAGAACCTCCAGGATTTGCTTCAAGATCCGTTCGAGATGGCATCTTTCCTTGCATCACTGAATCATTAGAGGGCCCATATACATCATAAAAACCATCTACTACTTTCTCCTCATAGTCAAGCACATTATATTCCTGATCAACAAAATAGGAATGAAAGATAATCAAACAGAAGCAGTTCAAGAAAGGTCACTAAACGAAAAGGTGAGAAAGCACCAATGGAGGTGAAACAAGTTCCATGTTCCTTAACTACATTTTATAATTTTATTATTTCTATCTTGGTGCTGAACAGATAAAAATAAATTTATGATACCATGTTCACTTAATACAAAGAAAATTTCCAAGACAATGACATAGTTAACCAATACCATGTGATGAAGCGGGTGAGTGTGTAATAATGAGTATAAAGCATATACTTGTACAATTTTCTTAAAATTGCTATGCCGTAGAAAACTAATGCAATTCAAAACGATAGCCACAGAATGTCAAACACACACAACATCCGTACAACAATCAACGCTGATTATGGCAGAAAATTCATCGTATCATAGTGTAAAAATGTAAACTGTCCCACCAAATGTTTGCCAGTGCACCAACTCAATCACAAATATTCCTTGTTTTTTCAACATCAAGCACACAAATAAACACCCGGTGATTCTAATAACAGCATCCCACATTTATAATTCCTAGGGGTTTATTGCAATTCCACAAAAACCACCCAAATATTAAACATCATTTAACCACTGGTTGCCCTATCAATCAGCTTCTACCGGAGTTCCGTCTACTTTCTGCAGATACCAAATTTTAACTCGCTGATCAAAAACGCATTTCGAACCTCACTGGAGTAGCTAGCCCTAGACACATATAAAACCCCGAATCTAAGTTCCAATACACAACTGAATTTACTGCAAGAACAAATAAATAAAAATCTAGAGTGAAACCCGCTCTGTATGAACCTCTACAATTCACAGCTTTGCCTCAATTAACCACAACGAAAGAGAAACATTGCAAGAAGTGGATTACAACAACTGAGTAAGACCTTACCCAGTACTGCCTCGACAGCGCCTCCGACGCGTCGTCCTTGTCCCTCACCGAATCGATTCGAAGACCTCCTAGACTAAACAACGTCGCCGCGTGGATCTGATCCTTCTCAGGATCGTCGCGGAACTCCGAATTGGAAGCGCTGATAGCTAGGGCTAGCTGCACCTGAAACTCCTCCTCCGACGAGAAAAAGTCCTGCCGATTCACCACCGGGCTCATGCCACCGGCGGGACTAACCACGGCGGTGGAGGCCGACGCTGTAGCCGAGGCCGACGAGGGACTCGCAGGAGTGGCACCGGAGCTTTGAGAGTGATCGGCGGCGCATGACGGCGACGGCACAGGTGGCGAATTGTCATTGGATCGCTGAGGATCGTGGTTGCCACCTATGTGAAGCTTCTTGAAGATGTTTTTCATCCTCTCTCTTTTCTCCGTCGGCTTTTCCTTCTTCACTCTCTCACTCATCAAAGCAGCTCAGAAAGAAATTGAAGTCACTTTCGAATTCTAAATATCAATCGAAATCTCTTTCCCTGATTTTCAGTTCACCAGTCGGTTCCTTTTCTCGCCGATTTCTTTTCTCTACAATTTTCTTCCCCTTTTCTTCGTTTTTTCTGTGCGAGGTTGCCTTCGAGGGTCAAGGGACTCCAAGGGAAAGAAGTGTTAGGAGGGAAAAACTTGGGCGAGTAGAACAAGCGTTGGAATGGCCGGTAATCAAATGGCCTCCGAGTTCCCATAAATTACGAAAATGACATGCACACTTGGATACGCTACGATCACCGCGCTATATGAACGCGTCGATTCGATGTTGACATGGGAACCTACGTGTCTCGTGAAGACTCTACGTGGAGCTCTTAACTTCCTAACTCCGCTTATTCGTTTATACATGCTTTTTCCTTCGTATAATCATTCAATTTTACTTCATTTTTCCTTTTCAAAATAATTTTGTCATTGTTTCGGTGTGAAATATGAGATCACAGTCTATATTATCATTTCATATCATCTGTTTCATGGTAGCTTAAGGTTTTTTATAAAAATTAAGAAAAATAATAAATATATCACTTTTTAAAATGACTTTATTTTTCTGAACATACCTTATTTTGGATGAGTTAATTTGAACATAAATTAAGCAAAAAAATGAACACTTCATTTAAATGCGAGAATAGTAGTTAATTTGGAATTTTTCTATGTATCTGAAATTAATCACCGTGAAAATGGAAGAAATATCAATCCAACAGTGTCTGATGAAATTATCTTCTAAAAACTACATCCAAAAATAGTGAATAGTGTGATAGTTAAAGTTAAAAAGAAAGATTACATTATACTGCACATGGTAAACTTACGGTATCTCTACTATCGAAAAGTTTGATATATAACTAACGGCTCTATAATTTATAAGCATTTATTACATACAGTATCTCTACTGTTTAATTTTTTTTTTGAATTATTTATTAATTTTGCTAAAATATCCCTGCTTTTTCAGAAAAAAAAAAAAACATAGGAGTCAAAAGATTTTGGACTAAGTTTAATTTGATCACACATCTAACCTCACATATATCAACATAATCTCTCTTAGATAAATCATTGAGGTTGTTTTTTTTTTCAAATAATCGAAATTTCACTTCTTGTGTTTTCTAGAAAAATTTGTAATGGTTAATTAACATATTGGGATAGTCTACAATAATATTTAGAAGTTAACTCATTATGAATTTGAATTCATATGTTGATAAGTGGACTAGTAGAGGGTTATATTCTTTAAACAAGAAAGTATTCATAGAAAGTTATTGCAATTGATTCTTTTTTTCTCCTTCTCGGTGCCGTTATATGATGGAGATCTACTTTATGTACGTATGAAAATAATAAATGAAAAAAACAAAAAAATATTAACTACAAAAATTAATAATATTGATAATGACTTTCACAATTGATTAAAATTCATTAAAAGTTACAGAATCATATCTGAATCTCATTAATTAAATCCGTCTAACTTCTAAATTATTTTCAAAAACAACATAAGAAGTTGACAAGCGGTCTAGCTTCTACATTATTTTCAAAATCAACATAAGAAGTTGACAAGCTTATCCTTTAGGTTTGGCTACAGACTGTTTATGATGCTCCCAAATTTTTCTATTCAATACTTCAGATATTGACTCTCCAAATGCAATGAACGTTTAATAATAATAATAGTTGTTCCCCAGACTTTATGTATTGACTGTTGAGAATGTATGCCCCCAAATTAATGTGTAAAAACTTAATTGCACACGTATTTATTGAAGAAAAAGAACCCTAAAACTATGTTATAAAATTTCTTCTTATGCCTAAAACATAATTGACATACTCCTCCATATTTTAAGATTCCTGCGTGTGGAACAGAAATTAATTTTGAGCTAAAAAGGGGACTAAAATGTCATTTTAACAGAACGAAGCTCTAATCTGTATGTAATCTTCACGCTATCAAAGACGGTACAATCAAAGTTCATATTTGGTTTAAACGAAAACATTATCTTATAACTCAATGTATTTGCTAAAAAATAAAAATAAAACATCCTATCTCTTTTGGTCTGTTCTACAGTACTTATACACAGGAACCAGATCTGTATTATAAGGGGTATAGTTCTCTAATATAACACATACGTATACCCTACCCCTGTCCTTATTATTACACTTGTTGACCATTTTCTCTAACATGTGAAATAAATATTTCACAACGGATATTTAGGTATAAGCTCTGTTAGATCTTCGTTCTCCTCATCACTAGAAATCCAGCCATAGCAAGGTCTACGCCTTTTGTGATTAAGCTGTGGAATCTTTGGTCCATGATTTTCCCGCAAAGCCAAATTTCCTGCTGGCTGAGACTCTGCAAGTATACAAGATAATTAATCACAAACATGTTTAATATGCTTTCAACCTAAGTGTCTGAGCCAATTAAAAGAATAATGAAAATGGGAAGTTGACAACCAGATTTCTTTTCTGCAGATATAGTTACAGCCTTGATGGGAGTTTCACTTGGAGCCTTGATTAAAAGTTCATTAGCTTGTCTTCTGTTTTTCGATGATATGTCTACAGACTTCAAGTAATGCACCCTACCAGTTCCACTTGTTGGGGATAAATTATCCACACTCTTGATGGGAAGTTGAAAACCAGTTTTCTTTGCTGCAGATATAGGTACAGCCTTGATGGGAGTTTCACTTGCAGCCTTGATTAAAAGTTCATTAGCGGGTCTTCTGTTTTCCGATGATATACCTACAGACTTCAAGTAATGCACACTACCAGTTCCACTTGTTGAGGAAAAAGTATCCACACTCTTGATGGGAAGTTGAGAACCAGTTTCACTGGTTACCGTTAGAGTCTCTAAGGCCTTAATAGTTAAGGGTTTATCATCAGAAGTTTGCGCTTTACAGCATGCTAGAAGGGCACCGTTCGAGCATTCAGCAGGTGTTACCTCATTGGGACCATCTCCTGGATTAGCCTCTATCAAACCAACAACCTTCACACAAACAATAGAAGACCATAAAACTAGACATTGTTAATGCTAACTTCATAAGAATATATAGGCCATCAGACCAAAGATCCACCAACAATTTTTCATAGGACTGCAGGCCATGCTTGCCAAAAGTCCCAAAAAAGTTTGCATTGTATTACAAGAGAAGCTTGTGTCGTATCTCAATAATTTTAAACCTATTGTTATGTGAATGTTTCAAAATTGTAGGCATTCACCACTATTTGAGGCTATTGAACTTACAAGAAAGGAAAGGTTTTAATTTACAAGTAACATTAGGATTATAAAGAAGGAACAACATAGGTTTTTCAATACATAATCCTATTGACGAGTGTCTTAAAATCATTAGTTAGCGTATAAAGACTTAGAAGGAGTTTAACAAAAAATAGAACATTTAATACACAGAGAACTTCAATGGCGACACTTATCATTTAAATACATATACACACAATAACATCTTACAAGCTATGGCCTTTACAAGGGTGTGTGCAGAGCATAAATTTTTCCCTTGGGAAAAAGGTGAAAGAAATAATAGGTAGAAAATTTAAAGAACTATTACAAAGTAATTTAATAGAGTCTCAGGTTTCAATAACTCCAGAAAGTAATATGACTTTGAAGACACAACAGCTCAGTGCTGCCACTATTTGATTATAATTTGAGTCACAGTCCTTCTTTACAGGATAATTGATATTGTTGAATCAAAGGCTTACCACAAAGCCAAAAGTTATAACTTGTATTTAGAATGCAACTATTTCTACTTAAAAGAGTCATAGACCAAAAATCACAATTTGATTGTAAGTTGTAACCAAACTCACCTAACCTTTGTTATAGGACAACTGATGCACCCTATGACATCAGTTGTTGAGTTACAAGCAATAAGAAATAATCTTTTCAACCAAAAAATTCCCAAATAAAAGCACATAGTTAAATTTGATGTGGTTTGACATCTCATAACCTGCATCTACAAACACTCAATATGCAACTTTTACGGTCGCAGAAAACATACAACTACCCAAATCTACAATACAACCAAGAAACTACAGAGTTATGGTAAAAACAATTGCAATCAACTATTGAGTTTGGCTGTTTACACCTAAGTTTGAAAGCTATGTATGACTTCTCAAAATATGATTTATCATTCCAGGACAACTAATGATCTTTTATCACAAACTTTAGACCACTACCTTCACCAGAAGTTGGTATATATGTCTGGTTTAAGAAAATTCAGAATCCTCGTTGGAAAGTAAATTTGGCTAAATCTTAGGATTTAAAGACTTAAAGGTTTGGAGATTAAAATATCAGCTGGCATAAGTGGTATGAGGGTCGGTCAAGCAGCCATGAAATCAACCAAAAACTCCCTTCTACTTACCAACTTAAATATTAAGTTTTATTATAAAAACCAAAAACAAAAAGAATGAAGCTTAAAAAAACAAAAATAAAAATGTAACTATCCGTCCAAAAACCCCAAGGTATTTGTACCATTTTTTAGAGTGAAGTAAGTGAGTCAAAAGATTAAAACTGGCTGCTAATATATGCTCATTTTTTCTTTTACAAAGAGAATAAAACAATTAATTTAATTTCCAAGAAATTTATTTTCCAAGAGTCAGATGTGGGTTAAATTTCCCCTGAGCAAGTCCACAGCAGAACATAAAAACATCCAGATAAATCATAAATGAAGGGTTTTATACAATGGAAGCAACACATTACTACACAACAACAGCGGCAAATGAAAAACAGAAAAAAAAAATAGAGATTACAAAGTTGCTTGGAGAATAAGGAACAGGAGAAGTAGAGTTACCGGAGGTGAAGGATTGAGTTGGCTTTCAAGAAGAGTATCGATAAGGAGAGTGTAACTGGAGTCTTCGATGAAGACCCAGCCCTCGTTGCCACCATAAACCTAAACACAGACATTTTTCACATCACAATCAAATGAAATTAAAAAAAATAGGTTGAAGAAAGAGGAGTCAGTCACTTTGAGGAGGCTTTGAACGGTTGTTCGAACGAGTTTTTTGGAAAAGCCATAGATATGCATGGCGTCGAGAGCTGCGTCCATTCGGCTCTCTCCTACCTGTTGATCACAGAAAACGAAACACTGATTCAGTTAATGTGGTGGAAAATGAGAGGAAAGGGAAAGGTAAAACTACCTTAGTGGGACGTCGTTTCGGAGCCATGAGAACAGAAGAAGAGCTTGTGTGAAATGGTTGAAGAATGGATCAGTTCACCTTTTGGATTTGCTCACACATGGATGTCAGGTGGAGTAAGAGAAGAAAGAGGGTATAAAAAGAAAACTCTTTTCTCATTTCAATCAATTAGGAATGCAAATTAGGAGTCCCAATGATTTTCAATGCAGTCACATGGTATATTTATGGTAAGATGCTTACATGAATTATGTAAAAAGTCTTTTATTAAAATAGGTTTCAAATTATATAAAATTTAAAATATTCAATGAGATAAAGTAACATATTTTTTATCAATTAAAATAAATTTTATAATATTTTTTTTAAAATTATATGATATGTTTAATTTTATAAAAACTAAATTAAAAATTGATATAATACTTTTGTGATAAAGAAGGCATGATAGAGTTGATAAGATAAGATTTAGTTTTAACCATGTAGGTTTTGTGGTGCTGAGAGAAACTATGTAAAATTTAATTTGGTTTTATTAAGCCTAAGCTTTATTAAGTTTTTAGGCTTGTAAGTATTAATCACCATGTTGGCTTTCTAAGGGTGTGTTTACTTGGGGGTTGATGGAGGGAGATGATTTGGGAAATAGTGATTGAGTGGATTTGAGGGTAATTTTTTGTGTGTTTATTTGAGTGGATTTTGTGAGAATTAGTGTAGGATTTGATTGATGTGACAATTTTAAAAAATTTGTTTAATTGGTATAAATTGAAGATTACTAAAATGACCTTAGGTATTACTGAGGTTAATGAAAGTAATATAACAAATGATATTTTGTTTTTAAGTTCTTTTATAAATTATTGTAAAAATGTTTTTATTAAGAGTAAAAATGTAACCAAATAATTTTTACCAATACATTTTTTACAAGCATTCACCTTTATACTTTTGTGAATATAATTTATTTGAACAATGTAGTCATTTGTTTGTATATAATTTAGTCAATTATAAGACTTTTAGATTTTTTTTAAAGTCTGTTTGCTACCCCCTTATTTAATTGTCCATGCCTTTTAACCTTCCACTTCAATTCAATTTATTATTTCCTCTTCTTCACTTCACTTTTAAAATCCATCCTATCTCCCAATTCCATTTTCCCCCTCCTTCTTCCCTTCCCCCTTTCCCCCTCCCTCCCTTCCTTTTTCCCCCTCTCTCCCTTCTTTCCCCCTCCTTCTTCCCCTTCCCCCTGTTTTTTATAAATTAAGGAGACGGTATTTGTGTAATAACAATGGACCCAGCCAATATGAAGGTGCAAAGCATTAGTTAGATATGTGTAAAAATCAAATATGGCCCAGGCTTAAATACATCAAGATCATTCTTCATCCAGGCTTATATATTTATACAGGGGTACATGCGTCTTTTTCAGTTGAATCCCTCCAAATCTCGTCTCCTTTGCGTGTGAGCAAACATTAGCAAATCCCGCAATTCATTTTCAATCGTTCTGCGCAAATCGTCGCAAGTGAACACGACTTTGCTTGCAATTCATTGCTTCTCAACATTCATAAATAGTAATTCACCCTGAAGTGAACACAACATAAATGATTATATTTCTTAAAAGATTAACAAGTTTTCAAATCTTGATAAGATTGTTTTTTTCTTTTATCCAATTAAATTATATATTCTAATGTTTGTGAGTTCTGTATTTACATTCTATTTGAATGAGTTTAATTTTTAATTAAAATTTTGCAATGAATTAATTACCAAATTTTAAATTAACTTAACTTTGTTTTTGCTTGGGTTAAAAATTTTAAGTATTCAGATTGACTAGGCCATATAACTTGTGATTTTAAGAGGAAGAGAAAATTTTAGGAAGTAATTAACGAATGTCATAGTTTAGAAAAATTTGTTTCTGAATGCTGATGTCTTAAAAGAACACTCATTTTTAAATATAAATTACTTTAATCAGTAAAATAATATTTATAACAACAATTTGGTTTTAGTTTTGAAATACTACTCTTCCCTATTCTCTCAAAAATATTTTTTGTAAAATAGACACCTTAATGAAAAATTTTTTTAATATCAATGAAGTAAAACTTTTGAAGAAATGCTTTTTGCAAAGGTTTGTGAAGATACTACAAGTTACAAAAGGTTTGGTGGGTGGTGGAAAGAAAATCATCAAGCAATCCCCCTCTCGTGGTGCAGTGTCGCTCGTGTGCGTGGAGTGGTGCAGTGCGTGTCGTGTTTCCTCATATTTGAATAAACCTTGAAATAAAATCCTAAACTAAAAAACGTAAATGGAGGTGACATCCTTCAACGGATGTCAACATCCGTTGAAGATGTCACCTCCGTTGATGTATACTTCCTCACGTTGGTTTGATGGCTTATGGATGCTCCTTGATGTCCCTCCACACCACGACGCGACGCTGCCTTGCCGACCCACGGGGTAAATGACAAACTTTCAAAACCAAAAAAATTGGAAAAGAAAAGGAATGGAAGGCGGGAAGTTTGAGGGAGGTGAAACGAAAATGGAGGAAAGGGAAAGAGAGTCCCGTGTGTGGTGGTGCTAGGAAAGTAAAATTAAGGTTGTTTCAATATTATTTAAAATAGGGTAAAAGTAAAAATCCTTTTTAATTAAAGATATAATTGTATTTAAAATAGTGGGTGGAAAGGTGTAAGAAGCGTGGTAGTTGGAAGGAGCCAACACCCTTAAGGTATTAAATAAAAACTTAAGGCTTGTGTCACGTTACTTAATACACAACGCGGAGATAATTGGTTTTTCTAACTGTTTCACTTATAAACTCATTTATTATTTTTAAATCCATTACTTTTTATATAAAACTTTTTAAGAAAAGAAATTGCTTATTTTTATTTGTCGGTTTTTAAATATTTAAAATAATTATTTGGTTGTCCTACTACTCTCTTAATTTTTAATTAATATGTTAGAGAGAAAATTTTATCAATAATAAGGGTAAACAAAACATAGCTTAATAACACATTACATATGTATTTAAACAAGAAAATTCAAAAAGTAGTTGTTCAATCCACTTTAAAACTACATTAAAAAGTAAACAGCAAAATTAATTTATTTGGATTTTGGTTATTTTGTGTTATTTTGTTATTTATGATGAAATTTACTAGACTAATCACTACAGTTGATTCAAATATTAATGAAGTATGAATAGAAATGTACTTAAAAGAGTTTTTATTCTCATTTTAGTATGCTATGCTTTTAAATAATATTGTCTCACTTTTCTCTATTTACTTGTTTGTATATATTAAAATAAAATTCAGAAGTTTACTCTGGTTTCATTCACACATTAACGACAAATCGTCCTCTCAGAGACATCATATTCTTTCTTCCGTCCCAGCCAGTTGACAAACACCAATTATTAACAATTCAATAACATTCCAAGAACGAGTTTTATAACACTTACTTCTGATTCAACCCGAGATGCACATTATTTTAGAAGGACCAATAATGATCATTTTTCTAGTTATTTATAAAAATATATTGTATATTATTTTTATCGTTTTTTTTTCTTTGGTAAACTAATTTTGCACTGGTGATTAAAATAAGTAAAAGTAGTGTTTAGAAGTACGAAAGATTATGTTTTCAAATTCAACGTACACTGATTATTTCAAAAGAAAAACTAAGCCATTTACTTTTGCCAAATAATAGTTTTATATACTTCCAAAATACATATAATTGGTCCTTCCAAAATTAGAGTATATAAATACATTTTTAAAAAAATTAATATAATACATATATTTAACGTCTTAAAAATTTGTATACACTTAAAAAATATTTGGATACCCTGAAAATCTTTCAGCACCAAAGAAGGCAACATATATAGATGAAAAGACCTGGTCAAGGCAGAGACGGTGGAGACGACACTTGTCTTCGCTTTCTCAAAAGAACGTCAAAAACCAATGGTGGGTTGAGTTGAACCACAAAAAAACAAGTTCTACCTAGATTCACCAAAACTTTTGCTCGCAACCCACCGTGTTTCTCTCTAACCTCCATCATCGTATATAAATCCCTCTTATCCCATCAATCCACACCTCTTTAATTCAAAAAATTAATACAAAAAGGTTTAAGTGAGATTGGTGTCCAACAATTAAAAAGATGAGTCAAGAACAGCCAAAGAGGGAGGATTTTCAAGAAGAGGCTATCACATACGGAGACGTCTTCAACGTTCAAGGAGATCTCAAAACCAAACCGATTGCACCGGTTGACGCCGCCACCATGCAAAAGGTGGAGAGTCACCTCCTTGGTAAGAACCCGAAGGGTGGCGTCGCCGCCGCGATGCAATCCGCGGCCATGAAAAATGAGAGAGATGGGGTGGTCGGGCACAACGATATTAACATAACTGCCACTGGTGCTAGTGTGAAGGAGACCGATGCTCCGGGGAGGCAAGTGATATCGGAGTCCGTTGGTGAACAGGTTCTTCTCATATGTATATATATATATATATATATATATGTATACGTATATATATATTATACACACACGCCAAGAAACTTTTAATTATTCTGGTTTGTTATTCATGTTTTTAGGAACGGTGTTTTCTCTTTAATTCTTACTTTTGATTAATTTGTTCCGTAGGTTGTTCAGAAATCAGTAGAGGAAAAGGAGAAGAGAGTTAATAAATTGGTTGAGGTATTAATTAAATCTTTCAAGACAAATGAACATTTCCTATGTGTTTTATACTAACAATTGGTGCTCTTGTTTTTCTGAAGAAATTTGCTTAATGCAACGATTATCAAAAGTTTTATTTTTTATTTTTCCATCCACTTAAAAGGAAGAGAATGAAGACATAAATTGTATTCTATTTTTTTAACTTTCTCTTCTATTTTACGTGCATGAATTGAAGTGTTAACTACGTTTGACATTCAGAAACACATAAAATGTTAATAATATATATGAAATGCATGAATTGCTTACACAGATGGTGGAGCAATTTAGCAAAAAGGCGCCACTGACGTCATCTTCTCCTGTTCAAGACATGGGCATTGGGGGCGGTGGGATCACCATAGGTGAAGCGCTGGAGGCCACGGTTCTCACGGCGGGAAAGAAGCCGGTGGAGTGGAGCGATGCCGCGGCGATTCAAGCTGCGGAAGTGAGAGCCACTGGGCGCACCAACATTGTCCCCGGAGGCGTTGCTGCGGCGGCGCAATCAGCCGCCACTCTAAATGCTCGGATTACAAAGGAAGAGGACAAGACGAAACTCGCAGATATTCTGGCGGTACCTGCACTAATTAAATCACCAGTGTTGTGTGTCTCTGCCATTTAAGAAAAAGAAGGATGCATAGATGACAGTTATTTTGTTGCAGGATGCGACTTCGAAGTTACCGTCAGATAGAGCAGCGACTCGGAGAGATGCTGAAGGTGTGACGGGTGCAGAAATGAGAAATGATCCCAACCTCACTACTCATACTGGGGGTGTGTCCGCAGCCGTGGCTGCTGCTGCTAGGCTTAACCAAATGATCAGTAACTAGTTCTATACCATATATGTATATTATCACCATTGCCCATTTTGTAAGTGATTCATTTTTTTTCTTTTCTTCGTGGAGAACTGAAGAACCTAAATTTTAACTCAACGAGTCCTCTGACCAAATGTTAAGGAGCTCGCCCAATTCTTTTATCTAACCGTGCTAGTTTTCTTCAAAGCAATGCGTTCATATTTTATTTCTGCTTTCATTTGTTTGGAATGTGTAACTTCATGAAATTATAATTTACAAAATAAATAAGAACGATGCCTTTACTTTTTTTAAAATATGGGGTTTTGTTTATTTAGACAAAATTTTACTTGATTTTGAGTTAATTATAATAATCATACGAGCAACGACTTATCATTAGGATATGCTTGGAATGTTGGTAAAAATGTTTTTTTAAGTAAAAATAAATGTATTGGTCGATACAACAAGCTTTGGTTAACGATTAAGTTGTATATAAAAAAATATAATTGTAAAACTTTTCACACAACTTTTTTTCATTTAAAATAAAGCTTTTTTTTTTGTAAAGATAAAGTGATACTTTTACTATTACAATATATGAAATTGTTAGATGGGGTATGTTTCCATAGTACACGGATTTAGGTAAACCTATTTAATAGTTCGTAAATGTATTTCACATGACGGGGTTTAACATAAAACAACCTAGGTGTGTATTCTTCATCACTCTTTCTAATATTGAATAAATATGCATGTTAAAAATGTATTATTATTTACGGACGTTAAACATTTATTACTTTTTATGCATGTTAACTACTATTAAGGTAGATGTAATGCCAACTTATAGTTTCACTCGATTTAACTGAAAGATTGCCATGCTGATCAACTAAATCCTACTCCTTAAACACATCGATCAAATTTAAGTCAATGCTATATTTCAGTTAATGCAGCTGCTTTGTAACAGTTCTTTACATTTTACATGTTCTCTCCTCATTGTGCACAGCTCAATTGATTTTAAATCCTGTTATACTTCTTAAAAACATTAACCATTGACATGAAGCAACTAATTAGAGGTACTATAAACAATTTTTTATACTTCTCAATATTACACTATTTTTATAAAGAAACTTGAGAAAGCTATTTCTCCAATCCAAGAAGTGTACAAGTTGTACCCTATAATTATCCTTATTGAAAACATTTCATATAAGTTGCCAATTTAAAATAAAAGTGATAAAAGTGGGAGGGAATTCCTATTGGAGATGCTCTTAGTCTTTTATGAAACCCAAACTCTTTCTGCCTTTTCTTCTCTTCTCACCAGTGACTTTAATTCTTTACAACAATCTATCAGTTTTTTTTACCAAAGCCTTCTTTGTTAACAAAGATGATATACTCGTTTATGGCATCAAGAGTACAATTTTCTCAACAACATTTAGGAATGACGATGGAATTCAGACTATTTCTTCTCGAGGATTCCGTCATATAATATCCGTTTGTTTGAGTCATAATAAATGAGATATTATACATATCATTGAACATTTAAAGGTGCAAAAAAGATTTGCATTAACAAACAAAAAATTAAGGCCTGGGCCCGAGTTTAAAAAATTGGGCCCAACATCAGACTCATTTCTCTGTGATTTTGTACAACAAAATTGGCAAGTCAAGGGGCAGCACATAGATCCTCTCACTAGGACAATTTTCACAGTTTCTTCCCCCTCCTTTGCCTTTCCTTCCTTTAGAATATCTGATTGTATAAACCACACAATTCTCTCAGCTGCTCCATTGATTTCCCAGATTTATAACTCTCCCAGTTTGAACCCAAGTAAATATGAGAACGGAAAACTTTGCTCTATCGTAACTTGAGGTAGGTCAAGGGCAAGAAGCTTGTAGAGCCGAAAGAGTATGGTTGACAATAATTTATGACAGGCAAAGGAAAAGACTGGGAAAACCTCCTATAGGTGGTTCTAGTCTAGTCTACAGAAAGACAAAAATATACAATCCTAGCTGAGGGTAAAAGGAGAAAAGCTTGGTATTTTCATAAGCTTAATTTTCAATGTAAAACTTATGAAATGGGCTTATCTGGAAGTATTCTTTTCACTCGGTAAGCTGAGCTTTTCCAGAGACAATTCCTTTGTTACTAACTGAAGTAGTCCTTGCACTAGCTCCCGTATTCTTAATTCTCTGTCCATCAAAAGAAAAACATTTAAACACAAAATAATAAGTAACAGATGAAAAAAAATGAAAGAATCTGTTTTCTCACTTCTTTACCAGAAATGAAGGTCGTTTAGTAATAAATACTTGATCGATTTTAAAAAGAAGATATTTTGGACTAGCCTCTTTTGAACTAGCTTGTGCTCTTTGGAGGTCGTTTTGAGATTGTTCGACCGCTTTAGAAGATCTTTTTAGTATTCAGTATCAATTTTTGGTAAAAGGCATGGATAGGATAAAAAAAAGAGAACTGTGCAACTTTTGTTTATATTGTGTATATAAAGTTTTTAAGAAGTCTGTTTAAGCGGTTCCTGGAAGACAGGCTTGTATCTTCACCTCCTTGTGAGTTAAAGCTAATGACTTCTGGGGTTTTATTTATCTATTTGTCAAAGTGTGTCTAGCACTTTTTTAGTGGATATATTTTTTTCTAGCATGGTGATTGGTATTTTGTGCTGCTGGAGAATATCCTATCCAACATACAAATAGTAAATATTTTTTACTTATTTATTTTTCCCCAAGATGAGAGAAAAATAAAGTTGGAGGATCATTTCTGTTAGATATATTATATCTTTTATCTTTTAGTTAGTTTGTTATTATTTCTCATTTGTATTTTGAGCTTAACCCATATTTCTTCTATTATAAATAGAGAACCCTATGTGTGTATTTTACATAAGGGAGATTAATCCAAATATAGTTTTTCACTATATTCAATAAGAGGGAATTTGAAGGAAGAGCTCGTCCACAATATCCAATTAGGAATATTTCATAAACATCCGCAATCTCCTTCCATATTCTTGTTCTGACAGATTTACTAATACCTGAATCTGAACCTCCATTCGTTAAATTGGTGATGTAATCAACAAGAAGACGGTTGAACGCTTCGACAGCTAATCTCCAAAGTGCACAATCAGGACTGTCTCTTCTTGTTGTCATACATCTGAAAAGTTAACATAATATTATTGTAGCAGAATCTCGTAAGTATATAAAGAGGTGGATATCTTCAATCCATTAGGGTTGCATATGTTATTGCATAAAAAATGAGCTGATCAAATGTGAGAGTTTCTTGGTCAATCACTGCCAAGAGTAAAGATTATGAGGGGCAATCCTCAAAAGATTGTTGGGAAGTGAACCCTGGAATGTACTTCCCTCTTTCTTTCTTCACCTCGTAAAAAAAAAAAAATCTTTCATAATTTGATTTCAAATTATCAACTTTTACCCTTTTTTCAGTCCTTTCCTCCTCACTTTGACATCGGAAATAAAAGCGTGAGTAAATGAACCAAAAACATTTTTCACTTGGAATGCAAATTACAAAACTCTTGGACTTTGAGTTTAATATTGAATTCAATCTTATAAAGTCAGCTTGTAAGATGAGAGGTTTGTCCAAAACTTAGAAAGATTACATTGGTCATCATATCTCTAGTTGATATATTATCTGATCACATCCTCTCACAACATACAAATGTGGGCCCAACAACACTACCTTACCTAGGTATACACATTTGGAGCTTAGACAAATATAGGCAACCAATAACAAATCCAGATTAGACTATGACACCATTTTAGAATTTGAGCAATAAGTTAAGCTGAACCTAAGAAAACTAACTTATAAGTGAGGACTGTCCAACCTCACAGAGACAACATTTACCATGTTTCAAGTCAATGTGAGATATTAGCAATAACATTTTAACATATACTACTCGTAAATAGAATGATTATTTGAGAATTTGTTAAAGACTTCGTTACTGAATATTGTCAAATTTTCTGTTGCACTCTATGTATTAATTACTTTTACACAAGGATAACCATTTAACATATTTTATGACTTAATGATTTTTTGTTGAAAGGAGTAGTGAAAAACAGGTTACCAAGGGTGTACCACTCTAATACCATGTTTGAGAAGAGAGAAATTGAGAAGAATATAATGAATCCAAGTGTGTTGTGTACACACCGAATATTCTTATTATATAATGAAAAGAGATTCAATGGAAAAAGGAAAAAACAATATCTAATAATGGAATTACCCCTAACATATCATAATTCTTTTTTACTTAATGGTAATCAACATCATATTTCTAACTCTCTGTCGAGTTGGAGCATATGTATCATATTATACAAGCTTATTTCAAATTTCATCAATATAAGACACCCTTGAGAGACTTAGTAAACATGTGGCCAGTTGGTTACCGAATGGCAAAGTAAATAATGGACAACAATAATATATATTTCCCTTACAGACTTTATCTCTGTCAAAGTTACAATCAATCTTCAACATAACCACACATCTTCCCGAAAAGAATGCAGGAGCCACTCCTCCACAAACAATAATTGAAAATATCTTAATTTATATCTCAATAATTTAGATTACCTTTTAGGATTAGTTTCCTCAATTTAGTATATGGTAATTATTAGAATATATTGTATTGCACATTTCATTATTGTCATTTATTAGGAGTAGGTATTATATATTCTTGTTAGAGCTTGTACTTTTTTGGGAATGAAGAAAAATATTCAGAATCCACTCCTTATATTTTATAAAGTTAAAAAGGGAGAATTCTTACCCGTGAAAAGAACTTGAAGGGGCCCACAAGAGTAGCATTCATTTCAAGCATGCATTCAAAATCTTTTTTATCTTTTTTCTTTTCCCCAGTTTCCAATTTAAAAATTTTCAAAGTTCCCATTTTTGTAGCAATCATAACCTATAAAAGCTTGAGTCCACTCTCCAGGGAAACGGGTTCTCAGCATTTCCTGGCTACAGTGTACAAATATCTCTAACTAAATTATTTTTTTGAAGAAAATTTCAACACCCTTTTGTGAGTTATCCCATCCTACCCAATAACAGTGAGCAGAGAAAAAAAAAGATTAAGAGCAATTACTACCTTCCAAGACTTTGAATAATTTCAGGGTACATAATATGCTTTTGAATTGCAGGTGCTTGCAGAATAGGTCTACCAGCACTGGAACTAGCCTTTCTGCAAATATGTAACTAGGAATGCCATTTGGTGCTGTTACTTCATTGTGTGATATTGGAGTAGCACCATTTGAATGCATCATATTTAATCTGATATCTCAAACACAAGCATAAATTTTTCAACTTAAAGGAAAAAACCTCAAAACTAAACAGATACACCTGATAGTTCCATAACTAAAATGGTCGAACCTCTTGCTTGATCTATTTTAACCATCCTCATTATGTAAATGAGAATCCTGCCTAGGAAGATACTGCAAAACTCTCGAAGAAGAACAGACCACATAGAACAAAGGTGCTCTGTGGACGTAACAGTGGCAAGATTTTTCCAGTATAGTCCGTAGCACTGGGGGACATTCCCCTGAAAAATGAAACATCACATTACGAAAGTTTCTACTAAAAGGGAAATTATATACCCACAGTTAGAAGAAATCTATTAGTATTTTCTAGAAACTTGTACAGTTTTCAGAAATCTTATTGGCCTAAAACAGTCTCCTATGGCCACTTTTTGGAACATTTACAACAATGTTCAACGATTTCGAAAAAATTAAAAATTTATCTAAAAAAAACAAAATTTATTTCATCAACAATTAACTAAAAAAACTTTTCAAATTTTTTTACGATTTTAAATTACGAATTAACCATTTATACATCATTTCGACCCAAAATACTATTTACCAAACAGTTTTTTTCACCTTAAACACTTTCACGCCCCCCCCCCCTTCCATTCCCTTTTTTCCCTTTTTTTCCCCCGCCGCCCCCTTTTTTTCTCTCCCCTCCCCCCCCACCCCCTTGGGCATGACTCTATTGAGGCAGATCATTCAATTTGTTATTGTCACTCGAGTGTTTGGAGTGTTTACCTTTACTGATAGTAAATGTGATGACAATCGTTCTTATAGTAGTGACAACCATGACATCTCCTAAATGAAACAACATCTTTGTTACGATTTTCAGACTAAAGATCTTGGCTAACTCAGATATTTCTAGGGTATTAAGGTGGCACAATTCAACGATGGTATTATTATATCTCAAAAAAGTATGCGTTGGATATTTTGGAGGAAACTGGGTTGACAAATTCAAAATCTGTTGACACACCCATGGATCTTAATACTAAACTTCTACCAAATTAGGGATAGTCTATGTTAGATCACGAGCAATATAGAATACTAGTTGAAAAATTGAATTATCTCACCGTTAGTGTGGTAAGCCAATTTCTTAATTTCCCATGTGAAGATAATTGGAATACAATCATTTGTATATTAAAGTACATTAAAGGATGTCCTTCAAAAGGGTTGTTATATAGTCCTAATAACCATACAAGAGTTGTTTGTTATTCGGCTAATTGGGCAGGATCTCCTTCTGATAGAAGATCTACATCCGGATATTGTGTCTCCATTGGTGGTAACTTGATCTCTTGGAAAAGTAAGAAACAAAATGTTGTGACAATTTATAGTTATGGCCTTAGCCATTTGTGAGCTTGTTTGGCTTAGGCAATTGCTTAGAAAGTTACAATTTGGAGATGTCATATGCTGCAGTCGCTACCGCCTCAGACAGACGCAACTGCGTCAGTTCTTCTTGGGCTAGAGTTTAGCCCGATCTTCTTGTGATACACTGCTAAGTATCACCACTTGGGAGTTGTCCAGCAAAGAATTTTGGACCTCCAACATATCTTTGGATCTTTGATGCCTTTGTTTCAGCATTGTAGCTTAATATTTTGTTTTGTTTTAGTGGTCCAGCAACTGTGATATTCCACATTTCCGCCCTTCACACTGCAAGTCACATATATATGGGTGTAGTCCCTGCAGTTTTGTAGATTTCAGCTACTACTGATGATCCCGTCACCCAGCCATCATTGATGAGGATTTAGTGTAGTCCCTGCAGTTTTGTAGCTCTTAGCTTTTCGCTACCACTGTTGATCCCGTCACTCATCCATCATTGATTGGGAATAAGTCCTTGCAGTTTGTCATTGTCCACCACTGCTTTCCTTCATCCACTTTTGAAGTTGAAGTTTGACAAGCTCTTGTTAGTCCATCTATGTTTGCCTCGCACTCTTGAAGACAAATCATCTAGTTCAACACTGAGTTCATCTATTCCAAGCTTAGTTCATACAATTTGTATGCTCCAGCTTGAGGGGGAGTGTTAGATATATTATATCTTTTATCTTTTAGTTAGTTTGTTATTATTTCTCATTTGTATTTTGGGCTTAGCCCATATTTCTTCTATTATAAATAGAGAACCCTATGTGTGTATTTTACATAAGGGAGATTAATCCAAATATAGTTTTTCACTATATTCAACAATTTCCAATCTCAAACCAACCCCCACATAGATTCACGAGCAAAAAGATTCTACAAATTTGCACGCCAAATATAAGGCATGGTAACTCAAGTTTATAGTTACTTTACCTTGATGTAACAAGCTCACAAAAGGAAGGTAACAACACAAACAAATGGGGTCGATTGTTATGCTTCTCCTTGTCCTCTGCTAGACCACTTCTCAACAAGGGGTGTAAAGGGAGAACAGATGCTGCATCTGGATGAATTACAAGATGTGCCAGTTCTCGGAGAACATAAATAATTTCTTCAAGTCTTGCTTTTGGTAAAGGACAGTCACCTGCAGGGAAAAGAAAATATTTAAGTAGGAAAAAAGTGGTAGATGAAATGAAAATTCCATAGGATGTTTATTATCTATCATAAAAAGCACACCTAAGCCATTTTCATCTGCCAGAAACCTGCTCAAGATGTATTCACATCTTGTCATGAGCATCGTAATTGAGATTTTGCTGACTTCAGATCTTGTCATATTCCAATAGACTTCATTAGAATAACTAACAAAACATTATATAAATTGGTCAACATATGAAGATAATATATTTAGTAAAAACTAAAAAGCAAAGAGAAAGAAAAATAAGGAGTTGAGATCGAAGAAATTTTAGGAATCAAATAATGCCTTTATTCAGGTCTCTATTACAATGATACAGCAGGAGTTAGCAATCAGGCACCCAAGTAATTCAAAATAGTTTTCTTCTGATGAGACTATAAATCATGATTTCATTAGAAAAGAATGTCCAGAGAAGGCAGGCAACTGTATACAAAAATGCATGATAAAGGTAGATTACTAGAAGCATCCATGACAAGTACACCATCTCACATTAAGACATAACTGACACCAAGTCAAAGATAATTTACACTCAGAATTTGGACATTATTTATAGAAAAATCTAATACGAATTGAATAAGTTTTCAAGGGATGGCACCTGCTCAAAGAAAACAACTTTTGTAAACAAGTCAAAGAAAATCTGCTGCAGTGAGGAGGCATAAGCTCTACAGTCTCAACAGGTAATGAGCATGTGCGGGATGCACATCGGTCCAATGTGGAGACCAGTCGCAGCAGAATCTAAGAACATGCACGTTGTCAGAACATATGAAAATCAACCAATTGTTTATCAAGAATATCTTAGAGTATCTAAGTTTATCTCTTAGGATTAGTTTTCCTATTTCATATTTCACAATTTTTCCTTATTTGATTAGGATTAAGAGCCTACTATTAGTATAAATTCAAAATCTCTTCTCATTTCCCTCCCATGATGAATAAAAGGAAAAAGTGAAATGTCCAACAGTGCTTAATCTGGAGTGCAAGAAAAGCTTAAAACAAGTCCAATTAGGTGACTTTTGCAGCAAAATAGGCACGCAACTTTATTTCGGGGAAAAATTATCAATAATCAAAATTAATTATTACTAAAAGAAGTCATGCATATGAAGGGATGAGCAGTCGTTAAATAATAGAGCTAGCTCTAATAAACAAAATATAAGAACTCTAAATATGTGGAAGATAATCCTTAACTTAGATGCTGATTTTATGTTAAATACCAAACTATTGCTATTGAGCTTCTTAATACCAAAGTATCTTCTATATTGGTGGAGAACTTACATCTGTAGGTGTATCAACTGGCAACTTAAGGACTGTGTCACCAAGAATATTTAAGATGGACATCTCAAGGGACTCATCAGCCTCTAGCACCACAGCTGAGAGGGAATTTGAAGGAAGAGCTCGTCCACAATATCCAATTAGGAATATTTCATAAACATCCGCAATCTCCTTCCATATTCTTGTTCTGACAGATTTACTAATACCTGAATCTGAACCTCCATTCGTTAAATTGGTGATGTAATCAACAAGAAGACGGTTGAACGCTTCGACAGCTAATCTCCAAAGTGCACAATCAGGACTGTCTCTTCTTGTTGTCATACATCTGAAAAGTTAACATAATATTATTGTAGCAGAATACTCGTAAGTATATAAAGAGGTGGATATCTTCAATCCATTAGGGTTGCATATGTTATTGCATAAAAAATGAGCTGATCAAATGGTGAAGAGTTTACATTGGTCAATGCCAAGAGTAAAGATTAGGAGGGGCATCCTCAAAAGTTGTTGGTGAGTGAACTGGAATGTACTTCCCTCTTGTCTTCTTCACTCGTAAAAAAAAAAAAATCTTTCATAATTTGATTTCAAATTATCAACTTTTACCCTTTTTTCAGTCCTTTCCTCCTCACTTTGACATCGGAAATAAAAGAGTGAGTAAATGAACCAAAAACATTTTTCACTTGGAATGCAAATTACAAAACTCTTGGACTTTGAGTTTAATATTGAATTCAATCTTATAAAGTAAGCTTGTAAGATGAGAGGTTTGTCCAAAACTTAGAAAGATTACATTGGTCATCATATCTCTAGTTGATATATTATCTGATCACATCCTCTCACAACATACAAATGTGGGCCCAACAACACTACCTTACCTAGGTATACACATTTGGAGCTTAGACAAATATAGGCAACCAATAACAAATCCAGATTAGACTATGACACCATTTTAGAATTTGAGCAATAAGTTAAGCTGAACCTAAGAAAACTAACTTATAAGTGAGGACTGTCCAACCTCACAGAGACAACATTTACCATGTTTCAAGTCAATGTGAGATATTAGCAATAACATTTTAACATATACTACTCGTAAATAGAATGATTATTTGAGAATTTGTTAAAGACTTCGTTACTGAATATTGTCAAATTTTCTGTTGCACTCTATGTATTAATTACTTTTACACAAGGATAACCATTTAACATATTTTATGACTTAATGAGTTTGTTGAAAGGAATAGTGAAAAAACAGGTTACCAAGGGTGGTACCACTCTAAAACCATGTTGAGAAGAGAGAAATTGAGAAAGAATATAATGAAATCCAAGTGTGTTGGGTACACACACGAATATTCTTATTTATAATGAAAAGAGATTCAATGGAAAAAGGAAAAAAAACAATATCTAATAATGGGAATTACCCTAACATATCATATTCTTTTACTTAATGTAATCAAATCATATTTCTAACTCTCTGTCGAGTTGGAGCATATGTATCATATTATACAAGCTTATTTCAAATTTCATCAATATAAGACACCCTTGAGAGACTTAGTAAACATGTTGGCCAGTTGGTTACCGAAGCTGGCAAAGTAAATAATGACAACAATAATATATATTTCCCTTACATGACTTTATCTCTGTCAAAGTTACAATCAATCTTCAACATAACCACACATCTTCCCGAAAAGAATGCAGGAGCCACTCCTCCACAAACAATAATTGAAAAATATCTTAATTATATCTCAATAATTTAGATTACCTTTTAGGATTAGTTTCCTCATTTAGTATATGTAATTATTAGAATATATTGTATTGCCACATTTCATTATTGTCATTTATTAGGAGTAGGTATTATATATTCTTGTTAGAGCTTGTACCTTTTTGGGAATGATAGAAAAATATTCAGAATCCACTCCTTATATTTTATAAAGTTAAAAAGGGAGAATTCTTACCCGTGAAAAGAACTTGAAGGGGCCCACAAGAGTAGCATTCATTTCAAGCATGCATTCAAAATCTTTTTTATCTTTTTTCTTTTCCCCAGTTTCCAATTTAAAAATTTTCAAAGTTCCCATTTTTGTAGCAATCATAACCTATAAAAGCTTGAGTCCACTCTCCAGGGAAACGGGTTCTCAGCATTTCCTGGCTACAGTGTACAAATATCTCTAACTAAATTATTTTTTTGAAGAAAATTTCAACACCCTTTTGTGAGTTATCCCATCCTACCCAATAACAGTGAGCAGAGAAAAAAAAAGATTAAGAGCAATTACTACCTTCCAAGACTTTGAATAATTTCAGGGTACATAATATGCTTTTGAATTGCAGGTGCTTGCAAGAATAGGTCTACCAGCACTGGAACTAGCCTTTCTGCAAATATGTAACTAGGAATGCCATTTGGTGCTGTTACTTCATTGTGTGATATTGGAGTAGCACCATTTGATGCATCATATTTAATCTGATAATCTGCAAACACAAGCATAAATTTCAAACTTAAAGGAAAAAACTCAAAACTAGCAGATACAACCTGATAGTTCCATAACTAAAATAAGGTCAGAACCTCTTGCTTGATCTATTTTACCATCCTCATTATGTAAATGAGAATCCTGCCTAGGAAGATACTGCAGAAACTCTCGAAGAAGAACAGACCACATAGAACAAAGGTGCTCTGTTGGACGTAACAGTGGCAAGATTTCCAGTATAGTCCGTAGCACTGGTGGGACATTCCCCTAGAAAAATGAAACATCACATTACGAAAGTTTCTACTAAAAAGGGAAATTATACCACAGTTAGAAGAAATCTATTATTATTTTCTAGAAAACTTTGTAAAGTTTTCAGAAATCCTTATATGGCCTAAAACAGTCTCCTAGGGCCACTTTTGGAAAATTTAGCAACAATGTTCAACGATTTGGCATGACTCTATTTGAGGCAGATCATTCAATTTTTTATTGTCACTCGAGTGTTGGATGTGTTTACTTGATAGTATATGTTGATGACATCGTTCTTATAGTAGTGACAACCATGACATCTCCTAAATGAAACAACATCTTTGTTACGATTTTCAGACTAAAGATCTTGGCTAACTCAGATATTTCTAGGGTATTAAGGTGGCACAATTCAACGATGGTATTATTATATCTCAAAAAAGTATGCGTTGGATATTTTGGAGGAAACTGGGTTGACAAATTCAAAATCTGTTGACACACCCATGGATCTTAATACTAAACTTCTACCAAATTAGGGATAGTCTATGTTAGATCACGAGCAATATAGAATACTAGTTGAAAAATTGAATTATCTCACCGTTAGTGTGGTAAGCCAATTTCTTAATTTCCCATGTGAAGATAATTGGAATACAATCATTTGTATATTAAAGTACATTAAAGGATGTCCTTCAAAAGGGTTGTTATATAGTCCTAATAACCATACAAGAGTTGTTTGTTATTCGGCTAATTGGGCAGGATCTCCTTCTGATAGAAGATCTACATCCGGATATTGTGTCTCCATTGGTGGTAACTTGATCTCTTGGAAAAGTAAGAAACAAAATGTTGTGACAATTTATAGTTATGGCCTTAGCCATTTGTGAGCTTGTTTGGCTTAGGCAATTGCTTAGAAAGTTACAATTTGGAGATGTCATATTTTGTTATTATTCTTTATTTGTATTTTGAACTTAGTTCAATTTCTTTTATTATAAATATAGTACCGTATGTGTATTTTCTACACAAGGAAGACTAATCCCATACAGTTTTTACTATATTCAATAAGTTAAAACTGCGTGTACCTTATTACTTGGTTCCAATGTACTTGCCCATCATTGGGCTCATGTCTTCTTTTGAAAAAAAAAATTTCTCCTTCCATTTCTTTCCCAAGTGAACCTTTATTTCATGTTTTACGAATTTTCGGTTGTGTACATTTTATTCATCATGTCTTCAGGGTTGGACAAACTTTTTGCAAGAGCTATTAAATATATTTTCTTGGATCTTCTTATCTTTAAAAGGGGTATCTTGGATATTCTTACCCATTCTCAACTTGCCAACAATAGATTGAAATGTAGCACAGGTTGGCCCTTTTGTCCATACATTTACAAGTGATTTTCAGAGGATACAAATGGTTACATATTGTCCCATTATCCAATTTCACCTTTATGAAGTGTTTGTCTTCTTCAACATGCTTAGTTCTGTCTTGTTGCATAGCATATGTTATTGCGTTTTATATAAATTAAGGAAGCGTAGACTTTTGATCTTGTTTGATATTTGTAGATATTGTTCATATTGTTTTTTAACAATATCTTCTATTTACCATATTTATGTTTGGTTGCCATATATATTTGTATCATTCTTCACTATAAATATATTACACTATGTGTGTTTTAGACACAAGGAAGATTAATCTTTATACCTAATTTTACTATTGGTCAATATCGGACATTAGACCGACAATATTTTTATTGTTGACTATGAGAGGTTTAAGAGACCTTGTGCAAGCTGTTGACATCATCAAATTAATGAACAACTCGTCATATAATACTTTTATGAGGGTCAAACATCTATGGACAGACAAATGATAGATCCCACAAAAACGACTTGTAAGGTAAGGTTTACACCCACATATATACTCTAAATTAGTCTTATCCCTAATCAATGTGAGATTTCCAACACAGCCAATGGAAAAGCTTTGGTGGATAAGACGCAAGGTGCATCCAGACAACTAATTGAGCATATAATGTCCAATAACCAACAGTACAGCACTAGAAGCAACTCTGGGACTCTACTGAAAGGAGTCTATGAGATGGAAACCACATATGTTGCTGATCATAAGAAAATTGAAGGAAAGTTTGATGAGTTGGCAGCATGGTTAAACAGTTGACAGTATCTCAAAAAGCTGTTACTTTATGTGGAATTTGTACTTTAGTTGACCAACCCACTGATGTTTGTTCTATACTACAAGAGGCTGGGACAGACGCTGCTGAGTCCCCCTCAAGCATATTTGCTTGTCAAGTATTTCCCAGTTTTGTTGGAAAAACAAATGAAGGTAACAATAACAGTTCTAAGTTCCAACTTACAAATAAATAAGAAAAAACAATTAAGCAATATTAATAAAGTTAATAGAAAACGGACTCACAAATTCCATTTCAAAGTTATCATTAGTTAACATGGCTTGCTTCACGGCCAAATCTATGATTGATATCAATTGTGTGTATACAACATCATTGAACAATCCTTGAGCCTGTACATACAGCTCTCCTGATAGATGATCAAAATATAAAATAAAATAAGTCTTATATGAATCATACTATATAAAGCTACTGGACTATGGGCGTATGATAAAAAATAGAAACCTAATAGAATGACTTAATTCATAACCAACGTAGACAAAAACATTAAATCTTAATTAAATGAAAATCAATATATTACCAAGCCCATGCAAAATCTCCTGCGTCACCTTATCAGCAGCACTGCCATGGTAACTAGAAGGCTTTCTCAGAACAAGCTCGTAAACATCAATTACTGAAATAAGGTAAGGCATTGACATATTTCCCTAATTCACAAACTTCTGTTAGTATTTAAATGAGTATATTTCAACTACTTCAGCTTTATTGATTTTTATATTTGATAACTGGTTAAAAGTTTCTTTGCATAAACCTCTCCAGAAGCACTTATAGGAAAAGAAAATAAGAAAAGTGAAATAAACATCTCTATAAGCTAAAATCAGATTATGCGTAAGTTAAAAATTAACTTCTGGATAAGCTATGAAATAATTTGTACAGATTATCTTCCACATAAGCCAATTTTAGCTTTTGGAGAAATTCTTTTCATTTTTCCCAGTTATTTTCTACTCCTAGAAATGTATTTAGAGAAATATATTCAAACAGAGTCTAGAAGTAGACATAGCTAGAGTTAAAGATGGTTGACGATAAATTCAGCTACGTATTCCTCATCTACAAACAGAAGATCAGCTCTAATCCAAATCATTATCCCTACCTTAGATGAGTGGGAATTAACAGTTGTCTGCAAACAATTTATTGCTGCAAGTGCAACCTCTTTACTACCATTTAAAATGCTATTTTCAACATATTGAAGCAATGATTCCCAGCCTACATAAAACAAAAGTAAATCAGGACTGCTTGTAAATTAAACCAAATGAAAAATACCAGATACATCATCTTTGAATAGTGAACCCACCAGACCAAAAGTTACTTAAGCTTGTGAAAAAGGGGAAGAACATCCGTAGTATACGTGCTATTCCACCAAAAACAAGCACAAGAGTTTCATCCCACTGCTTCTGAGCTGTGTTACGACTGCAAAATTCATTTGAATGTACACATATATCAAGTGATTTTGGAAAGTGTTAGGTGATTAATGAAGGAGTTAATTACAGTGCACAATAGTTGAAGTTACTTAAACATAACAAAGGCATATATGTCAGTGTTATATTAACCATTTCAGAGATACTACTTCTCTTAATCTTTTCATTCTCCCTATACCCTGTGTTATTATACCTGTTTTACCTTCCTCTTAATTTCTATCCTGGTTTTGCGGATCAAAAAATCATATTCTAACTTGACTTTCTTGTGCTTTAACACATGGGCCATCATCATCCATTGATTTCATTGAAAGTTGTGGCCTGTCAAGATTGTTAAGTTGTTATTTATTGATTTCTATAATTTCTTTCTTGAGTTTGTTAGTTTATTGCTAATTGTTCTTAAAGTTCCTAAGAGTAGATAGAACTTGTCTTGGCTGAGTTTAAGTCTTCAATTTAATAGGTTTAGTTTACTGATTGTTGGAAGTCCCACATCGACTAAAAATAAGGTCAATTTAGAATAAATAAGTGAGTGCAAACCTCACCTTACAAGCCAATTTTGTGGGGTTGAGTTAGGTTTAAAATCTCCTTCTTGACATGTTATTAGATCCATGATTCTTCCTAGCAAGTTTTGTTATTCGTTAGGTCTATTGTTCCACCTGCTATCGAGCCACTATCGGACCACTAATTAATGTCTAGTTCCATGCTCGATATGTATATACGTTAGCGTGAGGAGAGTGTACTGGAAATCCCACACCAACTAGAGATAAGGCCAATTTAGAATATATATATATATATATATATATATATATATATATAAGTGGGTGCAAACCTCACCTTATAAGCCAGTATTTTGAGACTGAGTTAGGCTAAAGTCCACTTCTTAACACTGACTTTATTCAAAAGAAGCATACAGCTTATGTTAGGTCAACCTTAAGGAAGAATGTCGCCAAATATAGGAAAATTTAGATAAGAGTTGTTGGATTATGAAAATAGAAAGTCTTTCATGTACCCATATTACGGGTTCAGGTGCCATAATTTATTCATATAATGAAATTATCATTCGTATAATTTATTTCTTATCAATTTCATTATGGAAAACAAGAAATGTAGTACAATGTGTAAGTACAAGATCACGACTCCAGAGATCAGCTTTATGCTCACTGTTCCAGACTATTTTCAGAGAGGTCTAGTCTACCCTTACTTTTTTCTCCACCGTTCATTCTCCCCATCTTCTCCCACGAGTATGTCACTTAGGCTAGAAGATGAGTAATAGAGTCAATTGCGAATACCTGTGATGTATGAGCATGTGAACTGCTTTTCCTCCTCGAGTACCAAGCTCTTTCCCTTGCCATTCATCTTTTGAAGAGGTAGCAGCCTACTTATCAAAAATCATAATCAAAGTACATCAGCTTACAATGAAAATAAGTCTTCATTTCAACTTCCGATAGTTTCAGCTTTACCATATGAGAAGCACGGTCCAATGTAGGAAATACATAATTCCAAAGACAATCTTCCCACAAGCTCTTTGAAAGCTTTTGTCCATGAGTTCCTAAAGTTTGGAACAGTGTCCTGACAGAAGAATTCCTCACCTAAAAAACAAAATTTTCAGTTCCAGGAAGCTTTAACATCCAGCAGCAATAGTAGACAGCAATTTTATTTAGGAGTTAACAAGTTTTGTTTTATTGTCCAAATTTCTCTAATTGTTATAGTATTAGTATAGAGCAATGGAGTCTTGAAGGTCTATTTAAATGGTTGTATGCAGTAACACTATTTAGGGATTATGTAATGATTAATGATCTCTTCTTGGTAAGCAGCAAAACCCAGTTATGAAGTACAAGAGACAATAGGAATAATCCCTAGGTTTCTTCTATTTTATTGTGATTTCTTTAATTTTCTATGCAACACTAGCATTTTTTGTGGGAGACAGCTTCGAAAATTCAACTATAGTTGTTACTTTCCTTAAGATAAACCCATCAAAATTAGAATTAATCACTCAGAATATTCACAGCCCCGAATATGATACTCAGGTTGTCTGCAAATCTCCCTTATGCACCCTCTAAACCTTAAATTCTTGTTTCCCACCCTCTTACTTCCTGTCAAAGAACTCTGTTAACCTTTCTATAAATGCATGGGATAAAAAAATTATAAATATTGATGATACTTCTGATGATTCATGGTCGTGGCAACAAATGCAACATCTAACAATAACAGCATTCTAATCACCTGAGATGAAAAAAAAATAGAAACAACAATTGAGATGTTCCAAACTTTCAATAAAAAAGTAAAATTCTATAGCTTTATCATCCTGGGAAAAATGTAAGTCAACATTTATGCAATTACATTGAGTCTCCTCACTTCTCACAAATGATTCTGAGAAATGTTGCCTGTTCCCTTTCATACAAAGAAGAGAAACATCCCCAGTACCTAGCCCTCGAAGAAGCATGCTTCTATACAAGAAAAGATAACATTAGGATTTAGATGTAACCATTCATGTGCTTTCACTCAATAGCTTAGGTTTTTGGGTAGTTAATTGTTAGACTTGAGATAGAAATAATTCTTGAGAGCTTGATTGATCCCTCTCACAATCTTCTATTCATAAGAATAAATTGATACACAAGTACATGATAAATAGGGTAACCCTAGACACAATATAATCATGATAAGGTAACCTAGACACAATATAATCATGATAGGGTAACCCTAGACATAATATAATCATGATAAATAGGGTAAATATTCTAACACTCCCCCCTCAAGCTGGAGCATACAAATTGTATGTGCCATGCTTGGAATAAATAAACTAAGTCCAACAAAATCAACTTGTCTAAAATGTCGAGGCAATAGACGTGGTAACTCTGGCTTCGAAGAAGATGTACATATGCTTCAGACCGTCAAGAGAGAATGTCTATAAACCAAATTGGACTCACAAACCAGCATAACCAAAGAGACTCCTCATAAGCTTATGGAGAATAATATTGGACAACCACGAAACTTCATCTAGCACCATGAACCTTCAAGTAGGATGACTTTGACAAGTTGATTTCCATCAAAAGTGAATGATGAGTGGTAGACAACGATAAACTGCAGAGACTGGATTGCCATCGAGTAAGGATGGGGCCTGCATGGCTAAAAGTGACAAAAATGCAGGGACTGTCATCACTGACTGATGAGGCTTGTAGTGGCCGGAAGCGACAAAACTACAGGGAGTGCCATCTTTGACTAATTGGGGCCTGCAGTGGCTGAAAGCAGGGACTGTCATCTCTGACTAGTTGGGGCCTCTAACTAGTGGCTGGAAACATATTCCCCTCACTGCAGGGACTAAATTGTCATTACTGACTGATGGGGCCTGCAGGGACTAAATTGTCATCACTGACTGATGGAGCCTGCAGGGACTAAATTGCCATCACTGACTGATGGAGCCTGCAGTGGCTGGAAACATACTCCCTCTCACTGCAGGGACTAAATTGCCATTACTGACTGATGGGACCTGCAGGGACTAAATTGCCATCACTGACTGATGGAGCCTGCAGGGACTAAATTGTCATCACTAACTAACGAGATGATGGCTGGAAGCGACAAAACTGCAGGGACTGCCATCACTGACTGATGGGGCATTGAGTGGCTGGAAACATATTGCAATGGCTGAAAACATACTCCCCCTCACGACAAACTACAGAAATGACAATGCACAAATCATGAAGGTGGACGATCATAATGGTCTCCTTTATTCATTAAAGGATCCAAAAACAGATCTGACAAGGGACTGGTAATATTGTTTGACTAAGATTCTGAATCTTGCCAGAAATAGACTCCCCTCATACCATGAGGAACCTCAAATTTATGACTTTGGTGTTGAAATTCCTTGGTGTTAACCAGCTAATAGCAACACTGACTCTCCTTGGAGACTTGTAAATAAATGACACAAGCCATCAAGAATCATAGCTGCTACAATATGCAAAGCTAAACACACATTATGAAAGAGGCTAAGGAACAATGCTGAAACAAAGATTTTTTTTTTTCTTTTGGTCCGGCGAGACGAACAGTAGTGGCACGATATGATTCTGACATTGGGAAGGTGACTTGTGACAAACACGTGCCGGAAGCTAATCGGAGAGAAGTCGTTTGTGACGGTGCGTGTGGAGGAGAATGAGGCAACGACCACCAAGGATGGGTCACGCTTCTTGAGGCGACAAAACCCCTAACTTTGCCGGAGAAAACGTGACGGCGGCGGGGGACGTCAGACAGATGTGGCGCACGTGGCGGCGCCGGGATGAGAACTAGCCCTCGACACCGGCGGGATTGGTTGTCGATCAAGGAGGCGATCCAGATCCACTTGGTCATCGAACTACATACTGAGGCAGCGGATGGTGGCAGACTACGGTGGGAAACAGCTAAAAAAAAGGCATTGGAAATATCTGAGATTATTAGGAGAGTGAGACTACTCATCGAGGTATTTCAGAAAAGATGAAATTTTTAAGGCCGCCGGTGGCGGCGTTGGCCACCGGCGACAACAAAGACAGAGTAGGAAGAGACTCAGACAACCTGCTCTGATACCAACTTGAGATTGAAAAAAAATAATTCTTGAGGGCTTGATTGATCCCTCTCACAATCTTCTATTTATAAGAATAAATTGATACACAAGTACATGATAAATAGGGTTACCCTAGACACAATATAATCATGATAGGGTAACCCTAGACATAATATAATCATGATAAATGGGATAAATATTCTAACAGGTAGGAACCTGGGTAAGAATCCTAATTATCTTCCTTACTCTCACACTTCAGTACTCTAACAGCAAGCAATTGTAAAAGAAATGACTTGTAATTCACATCAAAGAATCAAGAATACAATTGGGAAACCAGGAGCTTAACCTCCTTCACCAAGTCTAAACTGGTCTGCAACTCAAGAGTAAAAACTGCCTAACGGAAAACAATAACAAAGGTCCTTTTATAGAGACCTTTTTCCCGCCCCCACTTAACTGTTTACCGTTAAGTACTCTTCCTCACCTTTCCCCTCTCATAAACCCTCCATGTCCTAACATTAATTCAGGACAAAGTATTAGATCCTTGTTGCATATTGTTCTAAATAAAAGTTAAATTTCAGCATAAGGTAAGGCAGGCATGTATATTGTCCTTGCATAAAACCTGTCACACAAGTTCCTCTAACAAATTAAACTTCTAGGATAGTGCGACCATAATAGGTGACTTCAAAGAAACATCCACCAGGTCAGACTCAGCATATAAGAAAAAAAATCATCAAAAAAACCAAAGGGGGAAAAGGACATCTTCAGTCTGTCCTACTTAAAAATTGCTTATGACAGCCCTTCAACCAATGTTCTCATTAATACTACTTATATCAACTTACAACAAGGAAGCAATTGGCTTTATAATGGAAGTTTTGAAGTGTATCAAAAACTAAAATAGAGATACCAAGATTATAAATAAAGGGGCCAGCAAAAAAAAGAGAGAGATTCATATGCACACAAGTGGTACTCTAAATGAAAATTAACTGCTAAAAGAAGTAAACATAATAAAGTTTCTGAAAAATGTAACTCGTGTTTTTATTTCTTGTATTTCTCGATCTAATAGAATCAGATTATATACACCGTTGAAGCTTGCAATGCAAGATAGCCTAACTAATCAGCTAACATTAAACCAGTTGGCTAATAAACTGAGCTAACTGGATGCTTAACAGAATTTATACCTAACTTCCTGATCTAGCAGACAAACAGAAAATAAAACTTGATGATGTGGCAGAGACCACTCAGTTTAGAAAAAAGAGCTTTTACTCTTTTTCTCTGTTACTCTGTTAATAGCTAGATAGAAAATTGGCGATAGGGATATCCATCTTAGCACATAAGATGTGTTTCATGAGGTCGTTTGGGTAGAAAAAAAAAGTAGAAAATTTAAAGTGAAACAAGATTAGAAATTTATAAATTGTACCTCTGGTCTCTCATCTGCCCCAAGGTTTTGAAGTAAGGAGAAAACAGAGAATAGAAGCTTCTCAAAATCAACACCATCTATAGAAGAAGCCTTGTCTCTCGCAATATTAGAAATATGTGTTCCATCCTCTGTCTTTTCATTGCCTATCTGCTTCACTATGGAATTAACACCTGAAATAGAAGAGTTGGTATAATTTCAGAACATCTAAAAGTTAAAAACAGAAGGCTTGAAAACAAAATACGAACCTGTTTCCTTTCCTTCAATAGGTCCATTGACAAGACCCTTTGCAATGAAATCAGTCATAGTCCACAGAAGTCCCACTGCTGTCAAGCTTATGTTCAACTCGGTCTTCTGAGCACTGTATGCTCCAGTCACATCAACACACCTGTAATATATGTTTAACACATATTAAACGACAGAAGGAACCAGACTGGGAGCAAATATATGTGAATTTTTGTGTACAAGTGTATGCATCCTAGTATGTGAACATTGATGCTACTCAAATTTGAGCTAGGCTTAATTCCACACACATTCCTCATACCCAGGATTTAACATCCGTATGGTGCAGGTTTCCACTACAAAAATCATGGGGCCAATATCTATGATAAGCTAGGATACTGTCTTAAATTTGGCCTAGGCCTAACTCAATTCCAAATTCAAAGATGAGGATTGCTCAAAGCCTTTATAAGCACTCATTTAGTCATGTTTATTGTCATCGTGAGATCTCGACAACAACATTCAATAAGTAACACCAAATCTAATTTTTTCCACGGATTGCAGCCAGCTATAAAATCCAAAAATAAAGAAAATAAAAGAAATCATATATACACATGCATGCAGTATGCATATAGGTAAATTGGAACAAGGGGATCTCACACTTGAAGGCAGTCTGTAGGTAAGGTGGACAGTCCATCGTTCATTATCACTCTTAGGTTCTAGAAAGAAACAAAATCAGGAAAATTAGTACATATGATAATGTTACAGAGAAAGAATAACACTAAAACCTTTCTTAAAAAGAGAGTATATGATCACTAGATCAAATGTGAAGCTGTAGCATGTCTTACAGAAAACTTAAAATAAGCATGAAGCATATAAAAGATGAGATTCAAAACTATAATTAAATCAACATGATTGTTGTGGAATAAATTCATAATAATTGATATTGGAAATCATTACTGCATTTTGTAGATTAAAACGTAACAAGAACTGAAACATATCAAACACTTAGAAGGCATACATTGATCAAATGGCAGATTAGATTCATGATTTGAAGGCTCCATATATAGGATATGAATATTAAATCCATGCCTTGAAAATGCCATATATAACAAAAATATCATGATAATGATGTCAGTGTCCACAATTTTTATGTAATAGTTCCAAAAAGTAAAGATGAACCAAAAGTGCATAGAAGTTTGGTGCAAAGGAGATACAGGGGAAAAAGGCTCAAAGTCTCCAAAAGAAAATAACAATATGCTTGTCTGCTAATATTTGTAAATAAATACACAGGAAGAAATCCATCAAAGACACAAATCAAGGAAGAACTTATATGATGATATTTTTTGTTTTAGATGTAGAATTCATAACCCCTTTTTAGTAATTTAAATAAATTCAACTTGCCTGAGTTATGTGTAGTCATAGATTAAAAATTAAAAACTAAATGTAGTACATCCATTATTTTCAAAATGCCAACAAACTGTGCCTCATACTGGAATCTTATATGATGTGCTGCAGATGAATGACACATATTGGGTTGCCATCCAAGAGGGATATAAATATGTGCTGTCATGTTTTTGCTTGTCTATTTTTATCAAAAAGTGAAAGAGGAAAATAAATGGAAGGTATAAAATTTTTAATCTAAACACTATTAGAATAATTCCTTAAAAAATGAAAACTAAATAGAAAAAAATTATAAATAAAATGCTCACAAGTTTAGAGAGAAAATTTGGAGGCAAAATGCAAGACTAAATGGAACTAGAGAGCCTAGACAGACAAGCAGTATAGCCAACACTTAGTTATGTCTTGTCACTATTTAATAATGTGTACTTTCCAGAATCATGATCAGAAGTAACAAGAGAAGTACTAATAGTCAACTCAATATACCAATAGCCCCGTTGAGCAATAAATGCTGCAAACTAAATCAGTATACCTGGAAGCCAAGAGTAACAAGATCCTTCTCCACAACATCTGCTACANGAAAAGATAACATTAGGATTTAGATGTAACCATTCATGTGCTTTCACTCAATAGCTTAGGTTTTTGGGTAGTTAATTGTTAGACTTGAGATAGAAATAATTCTTGAGGGCTTGATTGATCCCTCTCACAATCTTCTATTCATAAGAATAAATTGATACACAAGTACATGATAAATAGGGTAACCCTAGACACAATATAATCATGAAAAGGTAACCTAGACACAATATAATCATGATAGGGTAACCCTAGACATAATATAATCATGATAAATAGGGTAAATATTCTAACACTCCCCCCTCAAGCTGGAGCATACAAATTGTATGTGCCATGCTTGGAATAAATAAACTAAGTCCAACAAAATCAACTTGTCTAAAATGTCGAGGCAATAGACGTGGTAACTCTGGCTTCGAAGAAGATGTACATATGCTTCAGACCGTCAAGAGAGAATGTCTATAAACCAAATTGGACTCACAAACCAGCATAACCAAAGAGACTCCTCATAAGCTTATGGAGAATAATATTGGACAACCACGAAACTTCATCTAGCACCATGAACCTTCAAGTAGGATGACTTTGACAAGTTGATTTCCATCAAAAGTGAATGATGAGTGGTAGACAACGATAAACTGCAGAGACTGGATTGCCATCGAGTAAGGATGGGGCCTGCATGGCTAAAAGTGACAAAAATGCAGGGACTGTCATCACTGACTGATGAGGCTTGTAGTGGCCGGAAGCGACAAAACTACAGGGAGTGCCATCTTTGACTAATTGGGGCCTGCAGTGGCTGAAAGCAGGGACTGTCATCTCTGACTAGTTGGGGCCTCTAACTAGTGGCTGGAAACATATTCCCCTCACTGCAGGGACTAAATTGTCATTACTGACTGATGGGGCCTGCAGGGACTAAATTGTCATCACTGACTGATGGAGCCTGCAGGGACTAAATTGCCATCACTGACTGATGGAGCCTGCAGTGGCTGGAAACATACTCCCTCTCACTGCAGGGACTAAATTGCCATTACTGACTGATGGGACCTGCAGGGACTAAATTGCCATCACTGACTGATGGAGCCTGCAGGGACTAAATTGTCATCACTAACTAACGAGATGATGGCTGGAAGCGACAAAACTGCAGGGACTGCCATCACTGACTGATGGGGCATTGAGTGGCTGGAAACATATTGCAATGGCTGAAAACATACTCCCCCTCACGACAAACTACAGAAATGACAATGCACAAATCATGAAGGTGGACGATCATAATGGTCTCCTTTATTCATTAAAGGATCCAAAAACAGATCTGACAAGGGACTGGTAATATTGTTTGACTAAGATTCTGAATCTTGCCAGAAATAGACTCCCCTCATACCATGAGGAACCTCAAATTTATGACTTTGGTGTTGAAATTCCTTGGTGTTAACCAGCTAATAGCAACACTGACTCTCCTTGGAGACTTGTAAATAAATGACACAAGCCATCAAGAATCATAGCTGCTACAATATGCAAAGCTAAACACACATTATGAAAGAGGCTAAGGAACAATGCTGAAACAAAGATTTTTTTTTTTCTTTTGGTCCGGCGAGACGAACAGTAGTGGCACGATATGATTCTGACATTGGGAAGGTGACTTGTGACAAACACGTGCCGGAAGCTAATCGGAGAGAAGTCGTTTGTGACGGTGCGTGTGGAGGAGAATGAGGCAACGACCACCAAGGATGGGTCACGCTTCTTGAGGCGACAAAACCCCTAACTTTGCCGGAGAAAACGTGACGGCGGCGGGGGACGTCAGACAGATGTGGCGCACGTGGCGGCGCCGGGATGAGAACTAGCCCTCGACACCGGCGGGATTGGTTGTCAATCAAGGAGGCGATCCAGATCCACTTGGTCATAGAACTACATACTGAGGCAGCGGATGGTGGCAGACTACGGTGGGAAACAGCTAAAAAAAAGGCATTGGAAATATCTGAGATTATTAGGAGAGTGAGACTACTCATCGAGGTATTTCAGAAAAGATGAAATTTTTAAGGCCGCCGGTGGCGGCGTTGGCCACCGGCGACAACAAAGACAGAGTAGGAAGAGACTCAGACAACCTGCTCTGATACCAACTTGAGATTGAAAAAAAATAATTCTTGAGGGCTTGATTGATCCCTCTCACAATCTTCTATTTATAAGAATAAATTGATACACAAGTACATGATAAATAGGGTTACCCTAGACACAATATAATCATGATAGGGTAACCCTAGACATAATATAATCATGATAAATGGGATAAATATTCTAACAGGTAGGAACCTGGGTAAGAATCCTAATTATCTTCCTTACTCTCACACTTCAGTACTCTAACAGCAAGCAATTGTAAAAGAAATGACTTGTAATTCACATCAAAGAATCAAGAATACAATTGGGAAACCAGGAGCTTAACCTCCTTCACCAAGTCTAAACTGGTCTGCAACTCAAGAGTAAAAACTGCCTAACGGAAAACAATAACAAAGGTCCTTTTATAGAGACCTTTTTCCCGCCCCCACTTAACTGTTTACCGTTAAGTACTCTTCCTCACCTTTCCCCTCTCATAAACCCTCCATGTCCTAACATTAATTCAGGACAAAGTATTAGATCCTTGTTGCATATTGTTCTAAATAAAAGTTAAATTTCAGCATAAGGTAAGGCAGGCATGTATATTGTCCTTGCATAAAACCTGTCACACAAGTTCCTCTAACAAATTAAACTTCT